TCAGAGGTATTTCATTATTACTGATTTCATTTTTGCAAGGTCTTGAGGGATTACCTTTGTGAAGATTAGGCTGGTCCTAAGTTTCATTAAGTAATTCGCTACATATCATATAGAAGGTGAAACATGTTACAAAACACATTAGATCAGTGATTTTTGAAGTAGTGGGTGGGGGGGTCTCAGAAAGCTGGAGAGAAGATTGTTTATATGAATTTATTTTTTGTTTTTTTCCCTAAAGTGTAAAAATAATAATAGGGTTCGACAAGATTTCTTTTTTACCTGCCCGACAGGGCAGGTGACAACAAATGTTGCCAGCCCGAAACAAAAATGTTCAAATTTTGATAACATAAGTAATGTATTTGTACTACAAAAATATTAACATGGTTATACAGAGGTATATAACATGTGACATCCGATTAAACAGATGCAAACATTTTAGACTGAGTCAGTCAGCTGTATTATCAAGAACATCTTCAAAAAACTTTTTTAGACCTTCCCAGTGTTTCCCTTAGAGTTCTGGCCTTGAGAGCGAGGCTTATGAAAACGGAATGATAAACAGCAGAGGCTTTGTTTTAAATACAATTTACAGAGCATGAAAAAGTCAACAATTTGCATTAATTGAATCTTATTTAGCCTATCCCATATCTAAAGATACATTTAAGATGTTTTGAACTGGAGTCTCTCTATAACTTAATGATAAATCTAATGTTATTTATACTAGTCAGAATATAATTAGAATTATCTAAAATAGGTATTTTGCCTTGTCAAAATATATTAAGAGATGTCTATTTATTTGTTTGTTTCTTTCATTCATAAAAACAAAACCATCTACGTACACCATTAAAAAACAAAGTAAATCATACCCTGAATTTAAAGGGTGCAGAGTGAAGTAAAAAATAAACCTCTTATCATATTTGCCCCTTATTTTCAAAAATCAACTTCGACACACAAACAAGCTCAAGCTGGAAAGATTTCCAAATTAAAAATATAAGTAAATAAAACAAAATAATAAAAGATAACATATTATTATTTTATGCCAAATAACTAATATGTCTAATTTAGTCATAAAACAATTTCAGATAACTAGAATATGTGTGGTGAAGCCAAATAAATGTTATATCTGCCTGCCATACATTGAGCTTCTGCCTGCTGAATTGACCCGCTGCTGAGCGCTCTCATCTTCATCAGAGCAGAAGCCGACATTAGCAAGATGGATTTATGACTGAACGAACGTCCACATATTCTTTTCATCTCTGTGGGTAACAATACATTAAAAAAAAAACTTATTTTTCTCCGAAAACACGGGTGTGAAAAAACTATGGTTGTTAAAGTTTCGCTCTGCGTGATGTGCAGGTTTTACCTGCCCCGGGCAGTCGGGCAATAGGATTTGTCGAACCCTGAATAATAACAAACTTTAAAATTCACTGATTATTTTTAGTTTTATAAAGGCCCCCATCCAACAAACTCAAAGTGGCCAACGAACCACCAGTTGATGATCACAGCTGTCGCAAGTTTTGTGGCTCTGGACACATTTTATTCGTGAGCCGAGGAACAGAAGTGTCTCTTTTGACTGTAAA